TTATCCGCTGTGTTGTAATATTGCTTATGTGTACAAAATAAAGATAAAAAAAAACCTACCTACCTACCTACCTCACACAGAGAAAAACCGGCGAGAGACTTTGTGACGTCCATGATATCGTTGTTAAATATAACACGCTCTTGCCACAGCGCCATCTATTAGGGCCGAGCGATAACGCCTACACGTCGAGTTACTAGTTAACTTATACATATAACTTAGGTAAGTTACGTTCTTAAAAGAAAAAAAAAATAGAATATACGAGTATATATGTCGGAGTTGGGTCTTTCTCCCCGACATCATTGCTACCGAGTTTTGGTTTTGTGGGCGTCATTTGGGTGAAGTGCGAGCATTAAAACACTAGAGACACGGTTTAACAGAATATATTTCGTAATCTACACGTATCACATCGCATATTAATCGAGTTTCTACTTTAGAAAAAAAAGGAATTCAATTAATAATATTTTCTTAACATAATTGAAACGTAAGACAATAACGTTCTGTTACACATTAAGCAACAATCAATTTATAGCTTCTTGCGACATATATATAGAATTGGCGAACTATTTTGTCACTGTTATATCGATGTTATGTAATAAACTAGTAAAGTTAAAAAAGTAGTTAAGACTGCGTCCACCAGGAAGTATGCTGACACAACGGTTTAAAATCGCGTGTCATGTGAACACTACAGCGCGTGTTGAGAACTTGTCATCTGAACGTGCGACAAAGACGTAGTAAAGTACAACACTTAGCGGCAATTAGCGGCAAGTGGGGGTGGTAGTTGGAAGTAGTGGGCAGTAGCAGGTAGTAGGCAGTAGTGCGCGGCGCGTCGTGGCTTCGTGCAGGGAGCAGGTACTGTGCGCGGCGTGATGTGGCGGCGAGCCGTGCTGGTACAGGCGACGCTTCTGCTCGCCAGTGCCTGGGATGTTACATACTACACCCGCACCAGACTATACCCACCTTTCCCAAGGGTAAGATACTTGTCAAGTTATCAATACCATTACTGTTTATATTATGTTTTAATGAACAAGTGGTTATCTTCTAACATGAATAGAGAATTGCAATTGCTATTTGTTTTATATGTGCTAATTATTTGTCATAATAAAAGTAACTCGTGGAAGGCGAAATGCATTTCAAATTACTATACGTGTTGTTTATACTTTAGCAGCGCAGCGTCTTTCTCATACGTATACGTGTACGCATGGTGTATATAGGCATTTCTGTTTACAGGTGAACATACATTTGGTACATGTTTTTAGTTCTATTTACAATCCATAGACCTGTCTGCCTGTATGTATGTATGTATGTATGTATGTATGTATGTATGTATGTATGTATGTATGTATGTATGTATGTATGTATGTATGTATGTATGTATGTACCAGGTAACGTTATGTCATTAGGAGTATACTCGTATTAGCTGCGGCAACTACGAGTAGTTCATTCATTAGTTCGCGTGTGCGTAACTCCTAAGTTTCGAAGGAACTCCAAGTTAAGCTGATTCATAGTTTATTTATGGTTGTTTAAACGAGTCTGACGTCAACTTACAGAATAAATCGATCCTTCTCTTCTTTTTAATTTACTTACTGATTGTGCTGGAGTACGTACTTAAATGTTAAGTGACGCTTACTATTAATTACCACATAAGTGAAAGCAGTGAATGAAACCTGTGTCTCCTCATCCTCTCTCCTCGTCTTAGAGTTTTGTTTAAATAAGAGTATTTTAATAATAACAATGATTAATTCTGAAATTTCAGGTGGAGTGCTATGATTATCCGGCTTCAGATTGGAGCTCGTCCGGACGATTCGCGAGTGTCCGGCCAAGCGCCGGTGAGACCGATTTTACTGTTTTTATTTTAAAGCAAATAAAATAATGTCCATGGCTTATACATACATTTTATTATGCAGAACAATTGTCTTACTCGCGGCTCTCTTACCCGCAGGTTCACACTTTGCGGGCATAAAATTTGAATCTTTTAAACTACTAGTTGTTACGCGCGACTTCGCCCGCGGGATAAAATAAAAGTAGTAAAAAAAAAAAATCAAACATAGCCTACTTTATTTGCTGATAACGTAGCTTTTTTTATGGTAAAAGATTTTGTTTTTTAAATCGGTCCAGTAACTTTTAGGTTATTTCAATACAAACAAAAGTCTAAATCTTTCTTTTTTAAATCATTAGATAATTAATTGATAATTGGTAATGTAACAGCACAGTTTCATATAACTTCCCGCTTAGTGTCATTCTGCTGCGTAATTGAGATCCAGAATAATCATGTCCGTGTCAAACTGCGAGGCGTAGAAAATATTGTTACGATTAAAATGTTTCCTTGAAACAGGTAAGACGCGCGGTACGAGTCGGCTGGCCAATTTATTGTTTGATGGCGGTCCCTATTCGAGTTCATCGTTCGGAATGCAACGTGCCTTCTCTCGGAGATTCGATTCGCTTCACCTTTCGTCCTCCAAAGAGGATATTGCAAAGGAACATGCTAAATTAGTCCAGGACATAAACGGCTTGAAACAGCCGCCAAAAGGGCTGGTGGCGCAGGCCGCCGTCGATTCCGGGGACTACGACGACTCAATCTACCCGGAGGAGATCGATACGAGCGCGACGGAGACGACTCGGCTGGTGGAGACGTCCGCACATACCGGCGAAAAGCGCGGGGTCTCGGCTTCGCTTCTTTCCGCGCTGCCAGTCGTCGGAGCCAGCCAAGACTCCGCTTGGCTCACGGGAAGCCCAGTGCGGCCCCGGCGGCAATACACCCCGGCGCGGCCCGGTCCCGCGGCGCCCACCGTGCGCGTTTGCCTGTCCCCCGCACCGCTCCTTTATCCCAAACCGACGTCAAATTTACTTCAAAGATTGATACACGGAATTCTATCGAAATAGTGATGAACGTAATATAATTTGTGAGCAGTGCCGTTATTGTTCGTTGTTACGTGGATCTCCTGTGCAAGACAGACCAGTTCGACTGTAATGTGATACTACAGAAACTCGCTCTGGGAAACCCTAAGTTTTGTCCCAAAGATATGTATGATGATTTATTTAGATATCTACCTACTCTCTACACTTGATTCGATACGATATATACGATATATTCGGTGATACGATACTGATTCAGGGGATTTATATCTTCCGTATAGAACTTAAAATATTATAATTGGCCTTCCCTTTAATCCGATGTAATGTCGCCACAGTGTCAGTACGCCCATTAAAGATAGGTACTTCTCTTCCTTACATCCCGCTCACCGTCACATCTCATTCACTCCCTCCTTTCTCACATAATCCATCTGTACTTTTTGTGGTCTGCCTGGTCTGCCTTCATCTTTCAGCCGTTCACATTCAATCTCATTACTTTTATGTGTTTGTGGTCATCATCTCTCCGCATTGTACTCGTATGCCCACACCACGCTAACCTTTCGCATCTTTACTTATTGTACATAACTTGCCAACTTCATTTAAAATACGGATGATTAACTTTTTCCAAACTCGTTAGAGCACACAATCAACTTAATACGCATCTCCGCGTATTTCATGCTTAATTTAAAGTAATGTTCTTATGTAAAACTAGTCCATGTTTAATTTCTTAAACAATTCCCAGTTTTAGTACAAGTTAAAATTGGTAGGTAAATGACATTGAATACTTATTGATTATGAAAGTGGTGTAATTCCAATTGCCAGAGGTAGGCGGCTTAACGGATGGTTGCTGATCAGGAGTCTGTCATTTTTAATTCATCTGTTTTATCTTACGAGTCATCTCACGTGTCAGGAGTTGCTAATTTGGGTTACTTAGTTATTTTCTTAAAATGGTTAACTTCATAGTCACATCAGATAGTGACATGGGTACAAACAAATGGTAAATCGACATTATTCTGTAACAATAAAATTATTTATTTTAAAATAATGTTATGTGCGGGACATAAACCTGTTGCGCTGACCCTACCAGAGTAGGATGAGGAGGAGGACAAATTTAAATTATGTATTTTACTTAACTATAAATAAACATATAATTAAATCTTCAAAATGCGATTAGAAAACATAAAAAAAAAACACTTATAGCGAAAAAGTCAACTAGTTGTAAATGTGTTGGTTGAGGTTTCTCAAATATGCACTACTTACTCGTATATACTGTTTCATGTTAAACATCAATAACTTACTGCCCTCACGTCCGAGAATACCATAGATAAAGGCCTGAAGCTATAACTACCCTATACATTATACGTCGATACACAGAAGCATGCAAAGCATAAGTAAATACTATCAGTATCGAGTAATTTTAACAACACAATTAGTGTTTAAAATAAAATTTTGTCTTGTCATGAGTATTTGTAAACAAAATTGAATTAAAACGAAGTATACTGAAAGTACTTTTTGATTTTCATAAGTTGAAAGTGGTGCTAGTTTTTTGGCACCCCAGAAATATGTATTATTCTTGTTTAATAATAGAGACATTGCCAGACTTCATGAAAAAATGGACTTACACCACTTTCAAATTAGACTGTCTAAATAATGAAACAAAAACGACACGCACATCGAGGACATTCGGTGTATTTATCATCACCAAGTCTAGTGTCTTCCTTCTCATTAATGTCAAGATATGTTTAATGACAACTGTTTATAAATGAAGGGACGTTAGACGTTACACGCGTTCGTGCGAAGTTCGCGTGCTGGCGCGGCCGGCAGGGGGGCGCGGGG